GTTGGAGAAGAAAAAAAGAGAGCTGAGCGAGGAATCAGTTAGTTAGGCCCAATGGGCTTTATTTTGGGCATTTTTAGAGGCTTTGACTAAGAATCAAACGAGATGATCGAAGAGCAGTTAAATCAGTTTTTTTTCTTTTTCTTTCTTTACTTGTTGGTATCAAATATAGAAATCGACAGAGATTCAAACACAAAGAAAGTAATTCACAATGGCTACTTCTGGAGATACGTTAATGGCAACGAGATGATCCAACGACGACGGAGAAGAGAACACCTATATGGCCTTGCAGATTGCAAAGGAATGAACAAATTGGTCATTGAAGAAGGCAAAAACCGCGGCTCACTATGGCTTCATTCCTCTCATCATCTTCGTTGGTATGAATTCCGATCCTAAACCCAATCTCTTCCAGCTCCTTAGTCCCGTCTAATCTTGATCTATTCGAATTCGAGATGTTTCTGTTTTTTTAATATGTGAATCGGAAATTCAATTCTATTTCATAACGGAATTTAGAAAACAAAAGAATCACTAAACAGAAAATGTGTGTTTTGATGAAAAGAAATCAACAGAAAGAGGAGTATACAATTTCATATAGTAATAAATCTAAGAGTTTTAATTTTCCATTCAAATTTCACTCGGTGTGGAATTCTCGGAGGCTCCGTTTTCGGATTTGGTTTTAGGCTCAATACTAGCACGTCAGTTTCCGACGTTCTCGATGAGCCTAACCAAATCCGATATCTTCGGTCTCTGGTCCGGTACTTTCACAACACAGGACATTGCTATCTGCAACATCTCGACCATTTCTTCCTCGATGTTTGCATACCTTAGAAGCTCGATGTCGAAAACTTCTGCAGTCCATTCTTCTCTTACTACCGAATGTACCCATCGAACCAAGTGGATTATCTCATCCCCTGCAATTTCCAGTGTCCCGAAATTATTAAACCGGAATATATAAGCTAGCCGTTGAAATGGTTATAGTAACTACTTTACCTGCAGTGGTGTGAATGGGTGATTTTCCGGTGAGTAGTTCGAGTAGTACGACACCAAAGCTGTATACATCTGACAGTTGAGAAGACTTCCTTGTGTCGGTTACTTCCGGTGCACGGTAACCAGCTTGCCTGGAGATCGGTGGAGCCAAGGGGCTCATAACCGCTGTTAACCCGAGATCAGAGACGCAGCCGTTATTCTTGGAATTCAAGAATATATTTGAAGATTTGATGTTCCCGTGGACGAATTTTCCATTGTTTTCTTGGTGGATTCGGGTGATTCCTTTAGCTGCGCCAATCGCGATTTTCATTCTGGTTTCCCAGTCCAGAGGAATCCGGTTTTCTCCTCTGTTACCTTCAAGATTCAATGGCAAAACCCATGAGAACACTACGCTAAACCGGTACCAATCAATCCAGATAAATAGTTCTGATATGAAATAAACCAACATAACAGATCAATTACCAAAAAGTATCCTATATCGAAAGAACTGAAATCGAATTGAAATAACCAATCAAGAAACCGAACAAAATTCCAATATGATCACAAAGGGAAAAGTACCATGAAGCAAAGAAGCCACACTTCCCTCGCTGAAATAGTCATAAACCATAAGCTTCTCGTCTTTGGAATAATAATAAGCCTTGAGCTCCACAACATTTTCGTGCTTAATACTTCCAATCATCTCCATCTGCTGCTCGAAATCACGTTTACCTGCCGCAACATCCTTGAGCCGTTTCACAGCAACGGAAGTTGCATCTTCAAGAACTGCTTTATACGTAGTACCAAACGTGCCCTTACCAAGAACCTCAGCAGAGGCTCTCAAGAGATCCTCAAGATCAAACGAGTAATTGACTCCTTCAAAGAATGATAACCGGTTGTTCACATCTTCCATCCGCGAAACGAATTTCTCTGGAGACATTCCACCTTTCTTTTGCAGCTTATTGTCCGAAATGATCCCATCACCGCGTCGTAATTTCCTTCTTAAGTAACAAACAGTCAACACAAACACCAAAACCGCAACTACTACAATGGAGACAGCGATTACAATCAGCAAGAAGACCGTCTCAGTTAGTCCAAAGTAGCGAGATTTCGGTTTATGACGAGTCATGTCGCGGACTGGCTGCAAAGGAATGTCATCAGGAGGAGCAACACCAATGCCTGCATAAGACGATAATGGAAATCTTCGAAGCCAATCCGGAATTGGTCCACTGAGATTGTTGTTAGACAAATCAATGTGTTGCAGACTAGAGAGAACACTCAGGTCAGGAATACCCCCCGAAAGCGAATTGTTAGCAAGATTCAACGACTGAATACGCTTGAGACGAGACAACGAATCCGGAATCGTTCCATTGAATCCGTTATTCGAAAGATTAACACTAGTGAGATTCTTCCAAACAGAGAAATCCAAAGGCAAAGAACCAGAGAACTCATTGTTCTGAAGATAAATAAAAGCCAAGTCTTTCAACTCGACGAAATCCGCAGGAAACTGACCGGAGATTCGATTGGATCGAAGACTGAGAACTCTTAGAGCAGAGAGTCTGCTTATAGTATTGAGAGGAATCTGACCGTTGAGACCAACACCTGGTAATCGAACAGCTACGATTCGAGATCCGTCTTGATTACAAGTAACTCCGGTCCAGATGTTGCAAACGGAAGAGGACTGGTTCCAGTTTAGTGAACGAGTCGGGTTCATAATGGTTAGAAACTCGAGCAATGCACGTTTGTCTTGTACTGGATCTGAGTTTCCTCCATTG